TTCGCATGCCTCCCCACCACCCATTTCGGCACACCCCTCACACGTTTCGTGGCCCCAGAAGGAGCTCCACCGAAGGCCCCAGTGGCAGGGTTCGCATGCCTCCCCACCACCCATTTCGGCACACCCCTCACACGTTTCGTGGCCCCATAGGGAGCTCCACCGAAGGCCCCCGTGGCAGGGTTCGCATGCCTCCCCACCACCCATGTCGGCACACCCCTCACACGTTTCGTGGCCCCATTGGGAGCTCCACCGAAGGCCCCAGTGGCAGGGTCCGCATGCCTCCCCACCACCCATTTCGGCACACCGCCCACACGTTTCGTGGCCCCATAGGGAGCTCCACCGAAGGCCCCAGTGGCAAGGTCCGCATGCCTCCCCACCACCCATTTCGGCACACCCCTCACACGCTTCGTGGCCCCATAGGGAGCTCCACCGAAGGCCCCAGTGGCAGGGTGCGAATGCCTCCCCACCACCCATTTCGGCACACCCCTCATACGTTTCGTGGCCACATAGGGAGCTCCACCGAAGGCCCCAGTGGCTCCCCACCACCCATTTCGGCACACTCCTCACACGCTTCGTGGCCCCATAGGGAGCTCCACCGAAGGCCCCAGTGGCTGCGTTCGCATGCCTCCCCACCACCCATTTCGGCACACCCCTCACACGTTTCGTGGCCCCATAGGGAGCTCCACCGAAGGCCCCAGTGGCTGCGTTCGCATGCCTCCCACCACCCATTTCGGCACACCCCTCACACGTTTCGTGGCCCCATAGGGAGCTCCACCGAAGGCCCCAGTGGCAGGGTTCGCATGCGTCCCCACCACCCATTTCGGCACACCCCTCACACGTTTCGTGGCCTCATAGGGAGCTCCACCGAAGGCCCCAATGGCCTGGTTCGTATGCCTCCCCAACACCCATTTCGGCACATCCCTCACACGTTTCGTGGCCCCATGGGGATTTCCACTGAAGGCCCCAGTGGCTGGGTTCGCATGTGCCCCCACACCCATGTCGGCACACCCCTCACACGTTTCGTGGCACCATAGGGAGCTCCGGCGAAGGCCCCAGTGGCTGCGTTCGCATTCCGCCCCCACACCAATTGCGGCACACCCCTCACACGTTTCGTGGCCCCACAGGGAGCTCCACCGAAGGCCCCAGTGGCTGCTTTCGCATGCCGCCCCCACACCAACTTCGGTGCACCCCTCACACGTTTCGTGGCCCCATAAGGAGCTCCACCGAAGGCCCCAGTGGCAACGTTCGCATGCCGCCACCACACCCATTTCGGCACACCCATCAAACGGTTCGTGGCCCCATAGGGAGATCCACCGAAGACGGTACTCACACCAGCATTACTCACAAAGCGCATATGTTGGGTCCTTCGCCAGGCTAATATTTTTTGGACAAGGATGGTGGGGGGGGCCCCTGCATGGTGCTGGTTGGCCGCCGGTTGCCGGGGAAGGAGCGTGTACATAATTACTCACTGCGTGGAGCCCCCCATATGTGCATCTCATGTTTTATGTCACGCCGTGGCGACCGTCTGTTCATGAGCGGTCGACTACAATAGCGCGTCCACGTGGGCGACAGGGCCGACGAAGACGAGTGACCCCTAATGCGAGTGATTGCGTATGAGTCAGAGTGAGCTTTGAGTATGGTTGAATGCGAGCCTCTTCCTCTTCATCCCCCCTCCTCAGCTGCCAGGCCTTCCCCTTGTCAGCCCGTGGTGGCTTTGGAGCTTCCCATATGTGTATATGTTTTAGGATAGTTGGCAGTGGGATATGTAAGACGAGCGTTTAGCCACACAAGGCCATAAGTGCATGTCATGTTGGAGGGTAGTGCCACGGTGAGCATTTATCTATGATAGATGTTTGCTCCACGAGCGCGTCCATGTGAGCGGCGAGCACACGCGCGCGCAGCGCGGCTGCACATCCACCGCGTGCATGCATTCATTCACGTGCATATGCCCGCGCATCTTTTTTTGTCAAGGCAAAGAATTCCCTCGGAGCTCGGCGCGCTCGCTCCGGTCGCACATCTCTTGAAGGCGTACGCTTTCCTGAAACCAGCGATCGATCTCCGAATCCTCGAACCGTTCGGCGTGAGTGCTTCCTCAAGCGGTTGGGGCGCGAGGGCCACTGTAACCTCGGAAGTTCCGCCATACTAGGAAAGAAGATGTCGGGCCGAAGATGTGGCCAGGGAAGGCTCCGGTGGCGTGACTTACAGCTCGTTCCCTCCCGTAGGTTCTTCCGGTTTGGCCTGCACCGCCCGACCCGGGGCCGGCTTACCTTCTGTACACATCTGCGAATCGTCCCGAAACCCAGCAGACCAAGCGAGTGCACCCACGATCCCCGCACACAACCACCGCCCCCCCCTCGCAGTCACCCCCTATGAATACACATATATATATATATATATGTATGTATATATATATATATATATGTCCTGGACTTCGGAACAAACGTTCTGCTCGCGTCAAGGACCTTCGAGCAAAGCGCCCTCCTCCTCCTCCTCCTCCTCCTCCTCCTGTTCCTCCGCCCCCTCCCTTCTCCTGCTCCTGCTCCTCCTCCTCATCCTCCTGCTCCCCCTCCCCCTCCGCACCCCCATGCCCCTCCTCACGATCCCCCGCCTCCTCCTCCTCCTCCTGTTCCTCCTCCTCATCCTCGTTCCTGTCATTTCCCTCGCTCACGCCATCCTCCTCCTCGTCCTCAATCTCTTAGACATCATCCTCCTCATCCTTGTCGTCATCCTTCACCTCATCGTCCTGATCCCCTTGCTTCCTCCCCCAGTCCTCCTCCTCCTCCTCCTCCTCCTCCTCCTTCTCCTCTTCCTCCCCCTCTTCCTCCTCAACCCTGGTTCCCCAGGGCGCGTTTCACCACTTTTGGAGGCGCAGCCCCGCCGGCGATGTTGGGCATGAAAACGAGCAAACCGCCTGAGACATCCCCACAAACTGACCGCGAACGAGCCCGTGCAACCACCCCTGGCGGCTCCCCTTAGGGGTGCTGAAACCAGCGCCCCGCCTGAGACATCCTCACAATCTGCTCTCCAAGCGAAGGATGTTGAGCCCAGAAACAAGCAAACCGCCTGAGACATCCCCACAAAATGGCCGCGAACGAGCCCGTGCAAACACCCCTGGCGGCCCCCCTTAGGGGTGCTGAAACCAGCGCCCCGCCTGAGACATCCTCACAATCTGCTCTCCAAGCGAAGGATGTTGGGCCCAGAAACAAGCAAACCGCCTGAGACATCCCCACAAAATGGCCGCGAACGAGCCCGTGCAAACACCCCTGGCGGCTCCCTTTAGGGGTGCTGAAACCAGCGCCCCGCCTGAGACATCCTCACAATCTGCTCTCCAAGCGAAGGATGTTGAGCCCAGAAACAAGCAAACCGCCTGAGACATCCCCACAAAATGGCCGCGAACGAGCCCGTGCAAACACCCCTGGCGGCCCCCCTTATGGGTGCTGAAACCAGCGCCCCGCCTGAGACATCCTCACAATCTGCTCTCCAAGCGAAGGATGTTGAGCCCAGAAACAAGCAAATCGCTTGAGACATCCCCGCAAAATGGCCGCGAACGAGCCCGTGCAAACACCCCTGGCGGCTCCCATTCGGGGTGCTGAAACCAGCGCCCCGCCTGAGACATCCTCACAATCTGCTCTCCAAGCGAAGGATGTTGGGCCCAGAAACAAGCAAACCGCCTGAGACATCCCCACAAAATGGCCGCGAACGAGCCCGTGCAAACACCCCTGGCGGCTCCCCTTAGGGGTGCTGAAACCAGCGCCCCGCCTGAGACATCCTCACAATCTGCTCTCCAAGCAAGCAGAACAAGCAAATGAGTTGAGCCCAGAAACAAGCACCAACCGCCTGAGACAGAAACAAGCAAACCGCCCTGAGACATCCCCAAAATGGCCGCGAACGAGCCCGTGCAAACACCCCTGGCGGCTCCCCTTAGGGGTGCTGGAACCAGCGCCCCGCTTGAGACATCCTCCAAATCTGATGTGTGTTGAGTAAGTCTGAGTATGAGTAGGTCTGAGTATGAGTATGCCTGAGTATGAGTAAGGCTGTGTGTGAGTAAGTCTGTGTATGAGTAAGTCTGGGTATGAGTAGGTCTGTGTATGAGAAAGTCAGTGTATGTGTACGTCTGGGTATGAGTCAGTCTGAGTATGAGAAATACTGTGTATGAGTAAGTCTGGGTATGAGTAAGTCTGTGTATGAGTACGTCTGGGTGTGAGTAAGTCTGTGTATGAGTAAGTCTGTGTATGAGTATGTCTGAGTGTGAGTAAGTCTGATTATGAATAGGTCTGAGTATGAGTAAGTCTGGGTATGAGTAAGTCTGAGTATGAGCAGGTCTGAGTATGAGGAAAGAGGAGGAGGGGAGGAGGAAAGAGGAGTAGGGAGAGGGAGTAGGAGGCGTCCAAGTAATAACAAGAACCCCATCTTCGGATATGGGGAATTACTCACTGCGTGGAGCTCCCCATATGTGCATCTACTCGCATGGACCTGTCCGCCGTGAATGTCTAGGCGCAAGAGCTTTCGAATATTAACGGGCTTCAGTTGTGACGGTCTGGACATCAATCTAACTGCGAATGAATTGGAGTGTGAATGAGCCTCAGTAGTACGAGCGCGTCTTTGTGCATGAGCCTGGGGCCTCCTGGGGCCTCCTGAAACCTACTGGGGCTTCCTGGGGTCTCCAGGAGCCTCTTGGGACCTCCTGGGACCTCCTCGGAAGGTTTCGTGCCCCAGGGGAGGCGCAATCTATAGCAACAGACGTACATAAAACATTGCGGATTAGAGCCACAGGAGAAGGGCAATCTATAGGAACACGCGTAAAACACCAAGGACTCGTGCCCCAGGAGAGGCCCAATACATAGGAACATGAGTAAAACATTTAGGATTGTGTACACAGGAGAAGGACCATCTATAGAAACATACGTAGAACATCAAATAATCGTGCTCCAGGTGAGGCCCAATCGATAGGAGCATACGTAAAACACATGGGATTGGAGCCACTCCTGTTGCCTTCTGAGGCCTCCTGCTCCTGGGGCCTCTCGGGGCCTCCTGTTGCCTTCCGAGGCCTCCTGGCGCTTCCTGTTGCCTCCTGGGGCCTCCTGTGGTTTCCTGAAGCCTTCTGGAGCTTCCTGGGGCCTCCTGGAGCCTCTTGGGACATCCTGTGGCCTCTTGAGTCTTTCTGTGGCCTCCTGATGCCTCCTGGGACCTCATGTGGTCTCCTGGAGCCTCCTGGAGCCTGTTGGAGCCTCCTGTGGCATCCTGAGAAGAATCTGCGCCCACGAGCCTGGCCACCAAAACTAGCAAACCGATCGAGACATCCTCAAAATCTGGCCCACCTGGGGGGTGAAAATGAGCGTCTCGCTCGAGACATCCTCCAAATCTGCTCCGAAAGCGAAGGATGTTGGGCACAGAAACAGGCAAACCGCCTGAGACATCCCCACAAAATGGCCGCGAACGAGCCCGTGCAACCACCCCTGGCGGCTCCCCTTAGGGGTGCTGAAATGAGCGCCTCGCTCGAGACATCCTCCAAATCTGCTCCGAAAGCGAAGGATGTTGGGCACAGAAACAGGCAAACCGCCTGAGACATCCCCACAAAATGGCCGCGAACGAGCCCGTGCAACCACCCCTGGCGGCTCCCCTTAGGGGTGCTGAAATGAGCGCCTCGCTCGAGACATCCTCCAAATCTGCTCCGAAAGCGAAGGATGTTGGGCACAGAAACAGGCAAACCGCCTGAGACATCCCCACAAAATGGCCGCGAACGAGCCCGTGCAACCACCCCTGGCGGCTCCCCTTAGGGGTGCTGAAATGAGCGCCTCGCTCGAGACATCCTCCAAATCTGCTCCGAAAGCGAAGGATGTTGGGCACAGAAACAGGCAAACCGCCTGAGACATCCCCACAAAATGGCCGCGAACGAGCCCGTGCAACCACCCCTGGCGGCTCCCCTTAGGGGTGCTGAAATGAGCGCCTCGCTCGAGACATCCTCCAAATCTGCTCCGAAAGCGAAGGATGTTGGGCACAGAAACAGCAAACCGCCTGAGACATCCCCACAAAATGGCCGCGAACGAGCCCGTGCAACCACCCCTGGCGGCTCCCCTTAGGGGTGCTGAAATGAGCGCCTCGCTCGAGACATCCTCCAAATCTGCTCCGAAAGCGAAGGATGTTGGGCACAGAAACAAGCAAACCGCCTGAGACATCCCCACAAAATGGCCGCGAACGAGCCCGTGCAACCACCCCTGGCGGCTCCCCTTAGGGGTGCTGAGTATGAGTAAGTCTGTGTATGAGTAAGTCTGTGTATGTGTACGTCTGGGTATGACTAATACTGTGTATGAGTAAGTCTGTGTATGAGTAAGTCTGTATATGAGTATGTCTGAGTGTGAGTAGTCTGAGTATGAGTAGGTCTGAGTATGAGTAAGTCTGAGTATGAGTAAGTCTGTGTATGAGCAAGTCTGAGTATGTCCGACAGGAGGGGAGGAGAAAAGAGGAGGAGGAAGGAGGAGGAGGAGGAGTAGGAGGCGTCCAAATAATAACAAGAACCCCATCTTAGGATATGGGGAAAAACGAACGAGCAAGACACATCCTGCTCATAAAACGCAAACCGTCTCGCTAACTCCCACCCGCCCTCCCGACGAAAAAGTAGCACCCGAT